ATTAAAAATACTATAAACTACCTAAAACTAACAGGTTTGTTCAATAAAATTATTACAAAAAGAACCACTCGAGTGTGTAGGTTACCTAGACTTACTAGTAACTTCACTATGCTCTGGCTTTTGCAAATGATTCAGCTGAAAACTGCAAGCAGGAAGACACATACAAATTTGGCTTGTGCTTATTTCTATGCAAAGCAAAACAAATATCTCCCATCAGCAAAGTAAATCAAGGCAATACTGTATGCACATCCACCCACTTGGTGGTGTTAGGCAAGGATTAAATAGCTCAACTAAAAGAATCTGTCTCTAAAAAAGAAACAGCTCAGTATTGTTTTCAAAGAATAAGAAGAGGCATGAACAGTATTTGCAGAAAGAGTGCTGATATTAATTTGGCAAATTATTTAGTCGTAGAATCTGAAACCTCTCCCAAAACCACCTTCATTTGTTTCCATTCTTCTCAGTGTCACTTTAAGCGTTTCTTGCTCCAATATTAAAAAGACAAGGACAAACTCAGATACCGAACAGGCAGGCAATGAAGATTTGGCAGACCAAGATGCGACTGAGGGAATCAGGGGAAATGAAGCGGTTTTGAACGGAGACTATTCAATTCATGTATGGATGATATATAAGAAGTGACTTTGTTGTTCAAAGTGTGGTGGGAAAGTCATTCCACCACTGGGGACTGAGGAGGTGAGAAGAAAGCCGGCTTGCCACGGGGACGGCATGCAGTCAGCCAATTTGTAAATCAAATGAGTTGCTAAAATAGAACAGATTGTTCGCACGGTCACAATGGATTCTGATTGCAAAATATTACTATGCCTGCCATGAAACAAATTATTTGAATGACCTTCAAACAGATATGCATGAAGAAACACAAACTGATAAGATTTTTTTTTTTTTCTCTGGGAATCCCATCTATTTTTGTTGTCAAATACAATATATGAAAGAAGTCTGTGGCTGTTTAGGTTTGTTGTTTGGGCAAAAACACCGGGGAGAGTGAAAGATGATTCAAAGTCACTCTGTTATTCTAAATCCGATATTGTCCAAAATACTTGGGCGTTAAATAACTGCCATTGTGAAAAAAGAAATTCTGCTCTGAAACTATCTGAAAATGATCAAACCTCAGCCAAGGCTGGACCACTCTCAGAATGTGTTACCTTGATAAATCAAATGTTTGGAAATTTTTACTTCTAATAGATTTTTTTTTTTTTTTTTTTGCCACATTCAGCGAAGCACAAAAAAAAAGTGTGAATATATTCAAGAATTCTCAATCTTAAGATATCCCAGATCAGCTTGGGTTCACAACATTTTCAACAAATTTAATGAAATCTGTTAGCAAATGCATCACGCTTATTAACAAATAAAGAGAGAAATATGAATGAATGACCTCCACAGGCAATAAATGGCAGCGATGAAAGAAATAGTCTTTTACTTCAGTAAAAGTACAGAGGTATTATCAGAAAAATAGACGAATTCAATTTGTCTTTTAGCTAACTTTAACTTTTTACTGCTGGGTAGTTTGACCTATAACCCTGCATCATATTTTATAAATTGATGACAGGGTTTTTCTTTGTGAAATTTAAATACTAGCTTTGAAATGTAGTGCAGTATGTGTGTGAGCATTACGCCAGAGAAAACTGACTCACATAAAGTGCATTCCTTATGTAAATGAACTTGAGCTTAAATTGACAAGATGAGTCTCGCTTGTAGTCAAACGCAGATTGCTGTTTTTAACAGTTCACTACTCAATGCAACAATAACAACATTAAACGACTTCAACGCAACTGCTTCAATTCTGCTTTGACTTCAACAAAGACTAAAAAGCCCTGTTTTAAGAATGTTTGCACTGATGATCTATTTTAAGAATAATAAAAAACAAAAACACATTTCCTGAATATCAATCATCTATGATTTGTGTCAAAAACTGTCCTCTGTCACCTGTTTCAGAACTTGAAGGGTCTCTTGAGGCCGAAAAAAATAAAGTAAAAAACACAACACAGGGATGGGGAGGAACAAACAAGGTCCAACAAGGACTATCTTTTCAGTAAAAAAATTACTGTTTTTGTCAAGGTAATATAAAGCTCAAGCTGCTCATTCGGGTGAACTGCCTGCAGCCTAGCTGAAGTGCACCTGAGCTGTAGCCTCAAAGTGGAGTTTGTAAGAGTGATTATAGTGCACAGTTCTGCTACAGAACACAGCTCTGCCTGATAAAAACACTGTGGGATGAAGTTAAATTAGATCAAATAAACATGCAGAAAGTACGATGACACTTTGATTTCCACTGATTAATTGAATTTACTAAGAGATAGGACGACACACATTTCAGTCTGTAAATTGGAACAACTTCCTACATGTAAACCAGAAGATTACTTATTAAAACCACTAATGAGGCTACCACTTAATTGAGCGCCACTTTCTCTTCAACATAAGGTGCCTTTAAAGTACAGGCTTGCACAAATGCCAGGGTTTTCTAAATAGGCCAAGGTATGATTTGTTGGCACAAAGTGATCCATCTTGTTTGTATGTTGTATGCAGATAAATTGATCGTCACAATGTGGATAGCTGATTTCATAACAATGTCCTACTGTATGTTGCATTTTGTACACACCTCTGAGGACTGTTCATCAGTGGAACTGGGTTGTGCAGAGCGTAGCTGTTTCTAGAGGTAGCGTGTCTTTATTTAGGTCACATATAAGTCAAGACAGCACATGTCTGGCTCTGCACATGTAGCTACGTTTACATTAATCTTGTGCAACTGACACATATGGAAGCAGGAAATTTGACATTGTGGTCCCATTAGAGTTATGCCCTGAAGCCTCAACATATCTATCTTCAAAGGTAAAAACACTGCGGAATAAAGTAATATTAGGTCCAATATTGGAAGCTTTGCACGGTCTCATAACACTGAACAAAACCCAAGTGGTTCTTGGACTACTTGAGCTGTTGGCACTTTGATCGAGGCTAGCTGTGTGCTATGTGCTGTGAGTTCAAGAGGGAAAATTGTCAAGTTGTTCTCTTCCGTTTTCAAAGACTTGGCTATGCAATTGTGAGAGATGATGAAAGAAATTATATTTCAAATACTGAAGCCTATACAGAAAACACTGTGCATTGTACAATTTAAGAGAAAATGCTTTTAGTTTAATGGCACAATCAGAAACCAATCAGTCTTTATTTAAAGTCCCTCTCTGGTCTTTCATTAAACTCCTAAAAACTCATCTCTGTGTATCACTGTTTCATAATTTGAACTTTTTTTTCATGAAAATAATTCCTTCCTGAGTTAGAATGGCTCAAATGTAACTCTACACTGTTGTATCCTCCAAAATGTGTGTGCACGAACACTAAAAATACTCTATGCTACACTATGGTAAGTTATAATATACTAGAGAAATTTAGCAATAAAAGTTCTAACCGGAAATAGATTCGGAAGAAGAATAATGATACGACAAGACTCACGATTCACGATTCAAGGTGACAAATAAGTCTGTGTTTTTGAGACTGTAATTGGTGCACTGCAGTTGGAAATGCTCCACCATACTTCTGTTGCTTTGTTTTCGCTATGATGTTGTTTCGATATGTTTTCCACTGTATAAAAAAGCACGTTAACAAGGTTAAAAAGAAAAAAAAAATTAAATAAGTCATCTCTAAATGCAATGATAACAAAAAGTTAATTGCATGTGAGACAGCCATTGCCTCAGAAACTAATTTAAACTAAACTTTTGACCAAATATCAGCTAAACCACAAATCTTACATTAAATTGCATTACCTGTGTAAAACAAGAAAGAAAGAAAGAAAAAAGAAAAGAAAAAAACACAGATAGCTTAAGTTGCTATGGCTAACAAATTAGCAAACAAGTGACTACTTACATATCTAGCAGAAACAAAGCAACCAAGTCTTCCTCCCGAAGTCTTCTTTGTCTTGTTTTTTCTTTCCGTTGTATCCTGGTCTGACATTGTTCAGCCTGTCAGCTGCAGAAAAATATTTTACTTTTGGTTAATTGGTGCAGCTATCTTGAACAGTGTCACACTAAATTGTTTAGTGTTATTAGCTGCACCAATTTCACATTACTCGACAGTCAGTGTGCCATAAAATATTGGTAATTACTTGTTAGTAGTTTCCCAAAATAATTGCTTATTTTTTTGTCATAACGAGGCTAAACATATTAAACAGTTTAGACTTTTATATAAAAGAACTCTACCATTTTAGCTACTTTTTGCCGTTTCTTGCAGTGTTGAATATCCACGAACGGTTCAGCCCTTACCACGATGATTGACGGGCCGTTGGACCAATCACGGCTCGGTTTCTTCAAACATTCCGTGACGTATATTGTGCGACGACATTACGTACAGTGGAAGTACTGGTGGAGGCTGCGCGCTGTGTTTCCTTCTTCTTGAATGCTGCTCGTTTCTGAAAGGTACAGTTTGTACACCTTTACGACATGATAGTGAACGTGTAGTAGTACAGCCAGTCTTGATGTTGTTTTGATAAGATGCAAGACGTAGACGGTAAACGGCTTGAGTGTTGTAGTTGTTGTTAGCTATCGAGCTAGGCTAACAGGAGATGTATAGTGCATATAGTGTAGATAATCAGTTGTTTTTTCGCTTGTCACTTTAATGTTTTTGTTTTGTTAAGCAACGAACGCTCGTGTGTGTCGATTACTTACAAGTATCCCACGTCAGGTGCCATCATGGCTAAGCAGCCGTTGGGGAAGACGTTGCTGAGGAATGTAATCCGCCACACAGATGCCCACAATAAGGTGCGTTTGGGTTCATATGTTTGTGGGAAACCTACTTTACCAGTTTATTAGGTACGCAGAGCTACAATTCATCAGAGGGAAAAAATAAAGTTGTTCAAGCATTTCATTTTCTAGTAGGTTATACGGTACACCACATTTAGAGTGGGATATTACACTTTAGTTGCATTTTATTTATCTGACATCAGTTCTGCAAAAAGTCAAAGTGAGAAAAACGAGGATACTACAAAACACACAGTGCTGTAGCTTTATATCTTTAACCTGTCCAACACCAACAACTCTAACAAGAAAGAGACTGTATGTTTGTGTAGATTCTCAACCATCCAGGTCTTGGGAATCCTTGGAGCTTCAGTAAAAAGCAGCTGGACTTCTCTTTCAGGTTCTTGAAGATATTTCACCTCTCATCCAAGAGGCAGAGAGCTGAAGAAGCCCTTTGAATCAAAGGTGAAATGTCTTCAGGAGTCCAGCTTCTTTTTACTGAAGCTCCAAGGATTAAGAGAGAGAGAGAGAGAGCTGTCCGTCAAGCCCAGTTTGTTCATGGTCCATCAGGCTTCAGAAAATCACACAAAATAAGTGAAAACACTTGTTGGGAAGGACCACAGCTTTGCTGGGTCTCACAACTATTCAACAGACTGATGCAACAGTTCATTCCCAGCCAGCTACATTCAGTTGCATTTTACACATCAATGCTAATAATAAACTAATAAGCCACAACATTAGAACCACCTACCTAATATTGCGTTGGTCCCCCTCGTACCTCCAAAACAGCTCTGATTCGCTGAGGAATTAACTCCACAAGACCTTTAAATCCCACAGATACTCGATCAGACTGACATCTGGGTAATCTGGAGGCCAAGTCAACACCTTGAGCTCTTTTTCACCTTCCACAAATCATCCCTTACCTATTTTTACACTGTAGCAGGGCGTATTACCCTTCTGAAAAAGGCCATCGGGGAATACTGTTGTCATGAAAGGATATACGTCTGCAACAATGTTCAAAAAGGCACTACATGTCAAAGTAACAATCACATGAATGCCAGGACCAGGCAGAATATTGCCTGGAGCATCAAACTGCCTCTGCCAGCTTGACTGCTTCCCATAGTGCATCATGCTGCTCGTGATGATCTCTGCCCCAGGTAAACCACACACCTGGCCGTCCGCATGATGTAGAAGACAGGATTCATCAAACCAGGCAGCCTGCTCTCATTGCTACATGATGCCGTTTTTGTGCTCACCTGCTGCTTGTAGCGGTAGACAGGGGTCAGAACGGGCATTCTGGCACTGTGTGTTCTGACACCTTTCAATCACAGCCAGCATCAAGGCTTTCAGCAGTTTGTCCTGCAGTTGCTCTTCTGTGAGATTGGACCACACTGCCAGCCTTCACTGCAAACACACATCAGTAAGCCTCAGCTACCCATGACCCTGTCGCCATGTCACTGGTTGTCCCTCCTTAGACCACTTTTGTTGGGTAATGGCTGCCGTTTACCAGGAACACCCCACAAGACCTGCCATTTGGAGATGCTCAGACTAAGCCATCACAATTTAGTCCCTGTCATTGTCGCTCAAATCCTTACGCTGCCCATTTTTCCTGCTACCAACACATCACCTTCAAGAACTAAGTGTTCACTTGCTGCCTAAAATATCCCACCCCTTTGACAGGTGCCATAGTAACAGGATAATCAATGTTATTCACTTCACCTGTCAGTCGTTTTAATGTTGTGGTTGAGGCTCGTATGTCTTATATAGAGCTCGAGAAGTGTTGAAAAATTAATATTTTAACTTGTTGAATGACAATAATTTGTGGACTTCAGGGGTTCTGTAATTTATCACTCATCGTGCCCATTCAGCATAATGAATACTTTAATTCTTGACACTTTAAATACTTTTTCCTGTCAAGTAGGACAAGGGTATTTTTACACACTGGCATTGCTACTGTTACTAATGAAAAGTTTCAGAGTAAATCTTGGACCACTGGAACTAATGTAGTCTGATGCAGCTGTTCTGTAATAAATCCAACCTTTATGAATACACCGTTTGCCTCTTTTGTTAAAAAGGTTTTAAAGAGGTACTGGTTTAAGCTCACAGTCGTTTTAAGATTCTTGTTTGTGGTGCTGTTGAGTTGTATTGTGTTTGTGGTCATATTGGCTAAATAAACTTAACGAATTGTTCTATAAAATGGGCCTATCACAAGCTCCAAAAGCCTTAAAATTATATCTCAGTTTGCTTGTTATTTGGTTTACTTCTTATTCTGATACTCGAAAAGCTGGAACTCGATAACAGTGGACATTTCTATTTTAAAAAATACTATTTTCAGCTCTTTGATTAAAAAGAGAGCTAGTTTAGCGCTAATAAGTTGCACACATCACAGAAATGAACATAGCTTGTTGTTTTCATAGATGAAGGCTCAGAAAAAGTTTTTTCCCCCAGAGACAAGCTTGTTTTTTTGAAGTTTCTTTTTTCCTAATAAATTGATCAAGTTCCAAGCTCTGGCTACGGATATAACGGAGCCAGTATAGAAATACAGGTTGTTTATGCTGATATTTGGCAGCCACTGCCATGTTCACACATCGAATAGCAGGTTTTTTTTTAATTACCTGCAAGAAGAAGCATGTATGTACCTCATGTAAATGTTGGAATATTATGTACATGACAGCGTGTTGGAGCAGTTTTTCACATGTATATTGTTGTTGACCCACTGCAGATCCAGGAAGAGATGGATATGTGGAAAATGCGAGACTGGGAGATCCAAATGTCCCACCACAAACATTTGTCAGATGCAGAGTGTGTGAGGTAGGAGCCATGAATGTCCCAGTTTAATTTGAGCCACCTAAACACAAGAGACGCCGACGCTCATTTGAGACCTTGTTTCATAATGAAGCTCTCAGTTTAGGGAGCTGTTACGGCATATTGGCTTGCTGATTTATTGATAATGGTTGTATTCTAGAGGACGTATGCACTGCGACCGGGTGTCAGACCAACCTAAAGACTTCAGCCGAAGCAGAGAGCGGGTCTCAGAACACGATGACAGAGAGGCTCGATACTGGACTCGCAAACTGTATGACTTCGAGGCCAATGATCCTGACAGGTACAGGGCCATAAATGACATTAGCACTGTATTGTATTTATTTAACTATCTATCAATGACAGTACACTTTTACCCATGTGTTATTTAACTGGAGGAGAGTTAGTCAAGACTGACAAATTTGCTTTATCTCATGTGTTTACATCACAGATGGGGACACAGCGGCTTCAAGGAACTTTATCCTGAAGAGTTCGAAAGTGATGGGTAAGCAAAAATGCAGCACTACACCAAATAAGCTTAATATTGAGCTTCATATGCAACTAAGATTTTAAAGGGCACACCAGCAATATAGCACTGTCCTTCCACAAAGCTGGTAGTCATGCAAGATAAAAGATTTTTAAAAAATTGTTAATATGCAGCGACCTTTAGTCCATAGAGCGAACCCAAAATATTCCAGATCCTATTATTTGCATATTAAAGTTTGACAAGTTCCTTATGCCACATTTGTCGAAGTTCTAAATAGGGTTTTAGAATAAGTTTCCAATGTATCTGACTTGGTACTTTATAATATGCAAGCTAATGAAAGAAAAACCAACTTGAATGCAGACAGTTGTTCAGTGTAATTAAACCCACATCTAATCGATCACGTGGCACATTGTCAATACACAGTATTTTAGTCTTTTTACAACCAACATCGTAAACGTACACGTCTTGCTGACATGAGCACATGCAAGTCATGAACATGGGAGCCTTTTTCATCTTTACCATCCGTCTCACATGACGTGAATGTTACGTCAGACTCTATATGCTGCCTTTTCTGTTACAAAAGCCTCCGATCAAAAGCTGAAATAGCCCTAATGATGTAATGATGGCCAATTGTTTTCATTCCCTATTGAAAGCTTCTCCAGAGCCCCAGAAGAGATGATTGCTTTTCATTAGATTGATCTCATTGTGTAACACTGGCGAATTGTCCCTATAAGGCATTATTTCAAACCTAAAATCCTGCTCGTGTTGCCTCCCCTATAGTTATTTTGTTCCCTTTGCTTTCCTTCAGTGAGGGAAGCGGTGCCACAAAGAAGATTGGTCGTCACAAGATTAAAAAGTCCAAGTCTGACACAGAAGCATGCTTATCAAAACGATCCAAAAAATCCTCCCGAAAGAAGAAAAAGAAAAAGAAGAAAAAAGGTGAGGAAGAAAAGCGTAAGAAAGCGGAGTCCTCGAGCAGCGACTGCAGCACCGATGACAGCGGCGCCACCAAAGACAAGCAGAGGAGAAAAAGGACTAAAAGTCGACACAAGAACAAGAAAAGCACGAAAAGCAGAGCGAGAGATGAGGACAGCGGCTCGGGGGACAGTAATGACGAGGTTAAAAGGGAGAGGCGGACTCGCAAAAAGCGAAAGCAGGACTCCCACAAAGACTCAGACTCTGGGCCGAACTCGAAAAAGAAGAGGAGGAAAGACTGGAAAGCAGCAGGAGAGGAGAGCTCAGATGTTAGTTCTGCCGACTGAGATGTATGGACGCGAACAGGCGAGCAGCTCAGGTAACGGCCAGGAAAACCACTGCAGATTCCTTTGTTCGCCTTAACTGCACAGAGGGCTTTTCACTGCAGGGCTCTTCTGTATTGTACTTTGTTCGACATCAACAAACCTGTGCTGTCGGTCCTCTCCGTGGGCGCTCTGCGTAGCAATAACTCATCACCTCTGCAGTGGCTTGAAGCACACAGTACCGCAGGCAGCATGAAGAGGGATGGTGGGGTATCCTCCACCCGCCTCATCAGAAATTCTGTGGGCTGCAGGATCATTGATTGATCACCGACTCTTCCCTCAGACGGCCTGCCTCGTGTGGAAACCTATCCTGAAATGACCAGTGTTTTTATTATCTAATTTAAGAACAACAGAATTATGCAACTCTCCTCATCTGTTATGACATGTGGTGAATTTGCTTTTAATATTTGTACGCAGCATTTATATTCATGTTTTCTTATAAATATTTTTGTTATTTAAAATGGTGGAACATGCATTTTTAAAGGATGATATCCAATATTTTTGTAGTTGTCAACAAATCCCATTAAATGGCAGATTAAAATGAAGTATTGACTGTGTACCTGAAGCCTGGTGATTATGAGGGATTGGAAACGAGGTCGAAAACTGCTTGTTCATAATGGCAAGAAGTATAGCATTAAAACCAATTCAACACAATTACCTTATTTAGAATACCGTGGGAGGCTGCTGCTTTTTTTTTTCTAAGTAAAGATGAGCTTTAAGAAAACATTTTCGCCCCTTTAACTTTTTTTAGTCAACAGTTAGCCTCCCTCACCACCTCAATAATTTCCACACAGTTGGGCGACACAATAGCCGAGCGGCGAGGATGCATAGCACGTGGGCGCGAATGAAATAACTTCCATACAGCCCTTCATTTTCGTGCACCGCACAGCTCCACTGTTATAATAAAACTATTACAGAACGCATCAGTGAGCCGGGCTGTGATGTCTTCCTCCATTACGACGAACACTGGCACTGTAGTTTCCTTTGAATCAATCCCTTATGCACCCTTTTTGCATATCAGTAGAACACCACAAATGTGTATTAATCCACAGCTGAAAATAGCTCCCAGTAAATACATGTTAAGCCCTGTTTGGGCAGCATTTTCTCAAACTACATTGCTCAGTTGTTTGCAGAATTATTTTAGGAAACTAGATTTTGGACCCCCTTTGTTTAGAAGAGCCTTAGTATTGCCTTTTTTGTGTGATTTTTCTTGACAATAACCTTTTAGCCTTTAACAGAAATGGCTACGGATGTTAAACGAGTTCTTTCATTTGATTCCCAAACATGCTGTAGTATAAATATGATCACAACCACAATTTTCCCCGCTGACCTGTTTAGATAACATTCACATGTTCGCAGCCAAAAACTGAAATGTAATGAGATGGCAGAGAAAGTCTAGATAACAAGAGTTAATTATTCACACTTTAATACGTTGAAAAAGCCTCTAGCGTAGGAAAATTACATTTCTGATTAGAAGCCTTGTGATTCTTTTGATTTGTCAAGTTGTTTGTCAGAAAAGAAACAAAGCCCAGCTTCCTCTGTGTTGGCCATCACGGATCAAAGAGCTCGCTACAGTCCTGAACACGCAGTCTTCTTTATGATGCACAAGATAGACCCTAATAAGCTGCTGTTCATGATCAAAGTGAATAAATTTAGGGACTCGTGGAAGTGCTCTTTGACTGCTATACTATTCTGGTCTGTACTCCTGAAGAGCTGCAGATAGCCGCCCCCTGTAAAGCCTTATTGTTGTCGGAGAAAAAAAGAGCCGCTGAAATACAAATTTTAAACACCCCCATTCTAAACATATTAACATCATCCTCTGTGCAAACCTGGTAACAAGTACTAAGCCTGTACCATCTGGGTATTTTTAGATAATCTGATGCCAAAGGAAGTGTTGGTAAACCACTTTGAAAGTGTGTGTACTGGAAAAGCCCGAAGCACTTCACTAAGTCTGTGTCAATAGGCTAAGTGTTCTCTCTAAGCAGCAGAGAGTGAGCTGTGTTCAGCTTGGCTGCAACTGCCCGAATCCTGGAAATGGAAAAAAGCAAATGAAATTCGGCAAGTCAAATCGGTGTTGACGGAGGTTTTTTAAACATGTTGCCACGGTTAATAAGCATCCTGGCAAAAGGGGCAAGATCCAAAATTGAGGGTGTTTTGTAGCTGCACCTATTTAGACGGGAAAAAGCATTTTTGTTCTCGCTACATTATAATGATAATGAGAAATATATGTGTGAACTTCTACAGTTATTAGCTACGCTGGTGGCTCGAAGACGACAGCGCCAGCTTCTGCAGACTGAAATATCTCAACAAGTAAAGGATGGATTCACACAAACGGTTATACAGACATCCTTGGTTCGCAGATGTTGAACAATAATTCCTTTGGTGTTCCTGTGACCTCCTGAACATGTGCTAATTAATGAAGGTAATCTGCTTAGCACCAAGCGCAACACAAGTACAGCTGCACAAAAGCACGCATTTCTATTGTCATGTACAGGAATTAATGCTGTTCTATACTTACTGTATATCTGCAACTTGCACTGCTGCTTTCCAAACGTCATGACACGATAAATGTGTTGCTGTTTCTCCAATTTGCAAGTCTCTGGTGAGAGATGATAAGTTATGCAAAATGGGCTTTTACGACACTAAACAAAATCCCAATTTACAGTTGTAATTGATGTGCAAAAAGCAGGTTGTTTTAAGATATTCACAGAAAAAAAAAGTAGGAACAAGAAGTATGACATTTTGAACCTGCTGTGCAGCTTAACAAGCGAAAGGAGTGCACATATACAATATCAGAAGAACAGCATCACAAGATCCAACCGAGGATTCAAGCATTATCTATTTAGTTTGCTTTCTTGCTACAGTGTGATAAAAAAAAAAAAATCATTCAATCACTGAAACGCTGTACAAAATTGAGCGTCAGCACGGCCGGAATGGTTTGTTGGAATGAGCGGTGATGCTTTACAGCAGGCAGCACGGTTGGCACGGATAAGACTTTAAACTTTAAATGTAATAAACCATGCTCAGATTGGACTCTTCAAACAGGCATTAGTATGCATTAAACATATAATGGGATCTTCAGCAAAAAAAAAATAAAAAATTACCTTCACCAAGTCAAGGCACATTTTTTTCACAGTTGCTCAGAACTGCTGATGAGACACAACACACTTTGCTCTACCCCCAGTGTTCGCTAGTTTGGCTGTCCAAGCCAATTTTGAAGACAGGTTGATGTCTCAGCCTCCACCTACCTAAGCAGATTTTGTGTTGAATAATGGTTACAGATAGGAGCGGACAGAAAATACTTCTCCTGCTGGGAGAAATGGTCTGCAGCACTTTTCCACACTGTTAAGCTTCAGTGGTTAATGAGGAGATGGACAGGGGTTGAAAAGTTTGTGCACCCACAAACTGACAGTCGAAGCATTTACGCCGTGGAGTTAAATCTTCCGCTAACTGGAAAGAGAACACTTAAGGCGATGCAAAATGTAGCTGAATTCTGCTAAAGTCTGATGAGGAAAGAAAGAAGAGATGACCCCTTTCTTGGACTCAATCCTCTCCGTCGCCAAGGATGCAAATCAGAGACTCAGGAGGATCGAAAACCCCCAGAGTGACTTATCTCTCTTCTCCATGTTTTATCTCTCTGCTGTCCCCGCAGCTCAGCTTCATCTCAGCCTGTGCTAAGTAGCTGTAATCAGAGGAAGAGGGTGTTTTCTGCAGCAGCAAACAAATACCACTCCGATGCAATCTTTTTCCTGTTGTCATGCACTTTTTTTGGTTGCACATTATGTCACCTGGTTTTTAAGCATTTATCTGCAGTATATAAAGAACTAAAAAATGGCTCAAAGCACACTATAATGTAGTCATACGCAAATATAATATTTAAAGTGTTTACAAATGAATGAATACAGATGCTTGGTCTATAACAATGTTTAGGTGGGTGGTGCACGTCAAGGTAGCGAGCACATGACTGCCAGAAGCCACGGCCTCGCTGCAGAACGCGGCATTGTAACGAGATAATCAGCGTTATTCACTTCGCCTGTCAGTGATGTGGCAGACTGGTGTATATGTATGTTTTCATTGTATTCACTAATTATACTCTGGCATGTGATTTATTATTACGCGTTTCTCCATGACAACTGGAGAAAAACACGAAGGCCATGAGATGGAGCTGAACTAATGCATTTGTGAACAGTTTTAAAGCTGTCCTTTTTTTCATGTGCATGAATTGTTAAAGGATGTTTTCATAATTCAATGCGAGGTATAGGAATAGTTTTTGAAGAGACATCATTCACTGTGAGTACTGCTGTGGTATACTGTGTTCTAATGTTGTATTTATGTGCCATTTACGGATGCTTGACAGTTATCGATTCTGAGAAATACAATAATAAACACTTGAAAAGCGTCCTCATGTCCGCTCTTGACGACATTATTATTATTTGTCTTCCTATGCATCGAGTGTTTACACGCAGCACTGCTTTCGGATGCTAAAAAGAAGCAAATAAAGCAATATATGACCCCCTTTTCAAGAGCTAAAATTGGAGCTTCAGAAAAACAAGTGCAGGATGCTATGCAGGCTTTCAGCTAATAACCGTTATTAATGCAATCCTCACTGCAGTCTGACATTAATTAGGAACCTTGCAGAGCTTTGTCTCCCCCTTGTGGACAGCAACAGATTTTACAATCCTGGTAATAATAGCCAGCCGCATTTGAATTCAGCGCCGTCACCTTGTCCCTCGTCGTCCCACACACGGCTCTGCTCCGTGGACGCTTTCACAGAAGCCTTATAAATAGCACTCAGGGATCAAATATTTATCATCTCAACTCGTGCGCTCCTCCCTGCACACTGCCACTCCTGCAGCACAAGAAGACAATGCCACTGATACAGTTAACCCACACAAAAAATTTAATACCCTTCGTGAGGGGATAAATGGTCCAAACTTTGACATACTAAATAGGGACAGGTGTGATGACACAGGTTTTTAATGTAAAAACTTGCAGCCAACACCCAAATGCTTTGTAAAAAGTCATGTGACATATGACTTACTTACTTACATAGTTAGTACACATACACCAAAGTTTTAATATACTTATATATGTCTTTTTTGTTTGTTGTCTTTTATCTAGACCAGCCAGATACAGTACCGATTAATATACAGTCACATCTGGAACAATACCTATTTAACATCATACAGTCCGACCGGCAAGGAGGAATCCATGGCAGGTTTCCGCGTCCGTCCCCTTCTACGCTAACATTAGAAATCGGCATTTGTAAAATTCTGTTCTTTTTTTTAATTATTATTATTGTATAGACTGGTGGTGATACTTGTCCTTGTATCTCGTGTCTTCTGTGCAAAAGTTTTTTTTGTTTTTTTTTTCTGAAAGAAACCCAAAAACATGATTGACATAACAGGATACCTGGCTGTTCACTTTACAGTTATGATTAAGTTTTTTTTTTTTGTTTGTTTTTGTCTTTTTTAACAATTAAACAGTCACATCCAAACGCCACACCCCCTTGGCATGTCACAGAAAAAGGAGAAAATTAAAAAATCCAACGTAACGCTTCCCGTTATCATGGTGGGAGGCAATGATAGAGAGGAAGGTTTATGACTACAGTGAGCAGCATCCTCCATTCGTACATTTTTTAATCTTTTTTTTTTTCTTTCTTAGAATAAGGCACTGCTGCATAAAGAAACGACATGGCCAACAAACCTCTCTGGGAGTATGATGGGGAGCCAGGATGAAAGGAGACTGTGTTCTTCTCCAGCAACTCACAGAAAGTTTGCATGTGTACGTAAATGTGCTTTATCATTTGCTGAGTGCAGGAAAAGTGTGTCGTATGGCATGAAGACATAGTTGTGTTTTTACATGTGTATGCTTTTGTGTGGCTGAGCCGTTTTTTTGGCTACACTGCTTCCTTCAGACTGTGCTCTCAAGCATCCACTCAGTGCTGCTGAAAGTAACTCTCCTGTTGGCGAGCGGCGACGACTCCGTGTTGAGCTGGTTGGTGGACTTGTGCCACCTCGTCCTCGCTCTGCGTGGGTAACTATGACTCTGAAATATGGAGTAATCCCCACCGTCAAAAGAGAATCTGTGCCTAGTTCGTGCCAGCTCATTAGGGAGCAACCCCATGTTGGCCAGGGCACTCTTCTTGTCCTTGAGCCTGGGAGCCTCCTTGGTTCCAGCATTGGGGCCTATGAGACACAGGGACATGGTGGAGCCCGTCAGGCTGCTGTCCGTCTGCGTGTCCTCAGATGGGGGTCCGGAGCGCTGTGCATCCAGGCTGGTTCTCCTCTTCATCTTGTCTAGAGACAGCGGAGGCAGCTCAACCTCCAGGATGGCAGTGGTGGCTCCTGGATCCTCCCTCTTCTCACTGTCCACCCTCAACACCAGCGCCATGCACTCTTTGGGCGCCTGGGCTTCACGCTGGCCTTCGTCAGACGGTTGCTTGGAGGCGGAGCGTTGGAGCCGCTGCTGGCTGCCGTTGGTCTGGGAGTGCATGCTGGTGCTGACCTTGGTCTTGCTGTCCTCTGGGCTGCTGTAGGCCTTGTAACGGATCATCAGGATGATGATGAACACTAGCACTGACGCAACAATTATACCACCGATAATGATGATCATAGTGCCTCCCAGGAACTGGCTGTGCATGAAGCGGCACTGGCTGACCTCACTGGCCGTGTGGAACTGCACACAACCGACCACACGTGTGGCCGTTAATGATGTGATGCCGTCGTCGTAAACCGCCAGGACGCAAAGGTCATACTCCCGTCCTGCTGCCAGATCATTGATTAAGAAGTTCTTGCTGGTGGATGGGATCATTCTGTGGAGAGAGGAAACAGCATGGCGGTGAAGATGCAAAGGATTAATCATGAGAATTACAACGCCCACATACACCGATTTGCATAAGGTGTATTAAATCACACAAAGGTGGCAGTTCCACACAACAAAAAGGCAACAGGGCCATCAGTGCTCCTGCATTAAGAATCGCTCATTCTTGGGAGACAAACATAAAAAGCACCGCACTTCATTAGAGTTGACTTATAAGAGAATATTTATATCGTAAAATAGCTGTGAGATGTTATTCTACGGGGTTTGTGTACAAAATGACAGCAAAGGTGATAAACAAGGCAGAAGAAGCTCGCAAACATTGCACAACAGCTGCAGGCTGCAGGACAAGTGACGCATGATGTGAAGACAGTTTTGATGTGTGAATACCTAAGGTCACAGTTTGTCGGCAACTGCGAGATTACACGACTCTAAATACGAAGGAGAAAGCCATTGTCTTCAGGTCAACATTGGCGTTAATATAATTAGAAGCTTGTTCCTTTTCCCTACAGGGGGACTTTGATGGTTATCATTTGTAGGTAATAATGTAGCACCTAAAGACAAAACAACACTCAGCTCCATGCTGAAACAGGATGAGAAAATTATACAGGAGAGCTACTCATTATATCTGATAAAGCCTCAAAAAAAAGAAAAAAGAAAAGAAACAAAGTCAACCACTATTATTACCTCGCTCCATGAATTTATAAATCCTGAAATACATCTCGCTACAATAAATTCAGCTAATTTGCGTCACATATTGCATTAGAAACACATGAAAGTTGTTCGCATATTTTCACAAGGTCTGCAAATGGTAGTTTTACCCTGAAAGAGTGAACTCATTCTGCATAAAACATGAACATTTTTTTAATTGTCACTAAGGGTTACTCATACAGCCATTTTCTCTTTTCAATTGGACTACCAATTTGCATTATATTGCGACTCACGATAATCAACTCGCCTACCTTGAAAATGTATTCCTCTACTTTTTTTGTAACCAAAGCAGTTTGGTATTTTTTAAGCACAATAAAGTACAAAATTATTTTCAAGTTATGCCACTTTATACTAATACGCCACTAAATTAAATTTACAGTTATTAGCTTTTCAGATGTTGCCAATTAAACCATCAAAAAATATATGTAGCAGTTAAAAATGGCTCCAACTTAACTCCTCACATTGTTGAAATACACGTGTACATACAATTTCCCTGCATTTGTTGCTCCTGTCACATTTTTGCTGACTGTGGGCTATTTTTTCTTTTCATTTTTCACCATTTTTCGCAATATAAAGTCACCTACATGGAAACAGCACAACCATGGCCAGAAGTAGGAATCATTATTTTTGAAATAGCAAGAATAGCAAAGACATAATGCTATAAATTGCACACAAAAACTGCGATAATTGGAGGGGAAAAAAATGTAATCAATCTGCAACATTCTTCCATATGCCCACAAGTGTATATATTGCAAAAATACTGCATACAGGTGATATTTTACAACTCACATTATTAATTCTTTTTCATACTTGCCTCCTTTCAGTGCTGATTAAAAACAGCCTTCAGTTCAGCTCAATTTGTCAAAACCAATTTTTATTATGTGACACTTCCAAACCACTAATGGCCTAATAATTGTGAATATTTTTTACATTTTTTACATTCTAAGATTGGATTTGGTTAACTTTTTCATCGTAGCAGCACATCACAAAGGATTAGTTCAAGGACAGTTGAAATTCTGAGGATTTTTTCTGTTTTTACAATTTTGGGCTCTAAAATATAGTGTGATTTTGGAGATTTAAAAAAAAAAAAAAGATGATATTCCTTTCAAACCTGCTGGTAGATTTTGGGGTTCAAATGGTTAATTTAGCAGCAATAATCTATTAATAAAACACTGATTGGGGCCATTCTGCTAAACAGGCACTTTGACCTCAATATTTTGATTATATTTTACTGCTATCCATCCATTAGCTGCATCATTTCATTATGCAAAGGGTTGTGCACGTCTTTGTATTGTGAAAGAAAGACAGCGTACCTGCAAAAAACCCACGCTATACAGAACCACTTTGTAGGCAACTGTGCTAACCACTTCACCACTCTGCTGTCCTATTAGTAGCATTGTGTCCACTAATATGCTGTATTTTAAATGGAAATATTCATTAAACCTGTGATTTGTGATCTTTTTGATTTGGACCATTTGAGAAAAATCCATAAAATGAATACAAATTTGATTAGCAACACCTTCTGAATCCTCTCACAGCCCTTCAGATGTATCCTGTGAGTCTTTAAAGGTGCCCAATCTAAAGGACTTTTATTGTAAATTCTTTTTTCAATGGTGTAGTATTGTTATTTTTAACGTACAGTGAGTAAATGATCTAAATACGTCTTCCGACACTACAACTAAGCCTATCAACATCTAATCACACTCTGTGTTGCAAGCAATTATTGCAGACGCTAGCTAATGAAACAAACAGTTACATGTAGAGAAATGGTTGGCCCTTGTGTTATTGTTGTAGTCATATTATGTTTTAATGATGCTGAAAAAAAAACATGTGCTCCTTTACAGTGCTGGACTCACAATCTATTCAACTGCTCGCAACAATCTACGAGCACTCAATGAGAGAGTTAAATTTAATTACTGAAAATGTAAAGATCTAAAGTGCACTGCACAATGTCTGCACATTACAGTGCATTTTAATGTGTTTTAATCCATGGAAAAATTCCACCTCAGTTCACTCCCTTGTCTCCACTGTAGGAGTTCTGCTTATTTTTGCACATACTTAATCATTCTGCATCTTTGGGACTTGTCAATCTGCCATAATGGACTGTTGTGTCATTCAGCAGATGGTAACTCCAGATGTCTCACCTTTGCACATGTCCCTGCCGTACCACCCTTTTCTCCCACCATCCATCCCGCCTCCGCCATGGCTTACCTGTACACCAAAGTATCATCCGCTGTGCTGTTGTACTGAATCTGGTACATCCTGATGCCTGGAATGTGTCGCTCGGACGGCCAGCGGATCACAGCGGAGGACGAGGTCAGCTCACTGACCATCACCCTTCTGTCCTGCTTGTCATAGCCCTTGGTGTCATTGCCAGATTTGGAGGAGGTGGTGATGTCTGAGAGACCGGGGTCCTCACGCATGTGGCCTGTGTTGTTAACAAACAAGGGTAAGGGGATCATGTTGATCTCAACAGCCTCTGTAGCGATGCCTGCGGCATTGGACGCCACACAATTAAATGACCCGCTGTCCTTCAGCGTGGTGATGAGAATATCAAGGGTGCCATTATCATAAAGGATGGTGCGGGAATTATTATGCACCAGCTTGCCGTCTGGTGACCGCCAGTGAATATCTGGGTCTGGATCCCCCACAGCTTTGCATTTAAGAGTCACACCCTGGCCCTCCATCACGTAGGGCTTAGTGGCAAGATGTTTGGTGATCAGCGGAGGCTCACAGATAAACTCCTCCTCCTGGATGGACCAGAAGTATTTGTCCATGAGGTGCTCTGGTGAGGCACAGGTCTCTAAATCATCCTCCCTTGTCAGCCTGCGCAGCCACAGCAGCTCGCAGTTACAGTGAAGAGGGTTTCCGCCAAAACTCACGGCCAGAGTGGATGAGTCGGCGCCCTTGGCATCAGACAGGACCTGAGCGTGCTGGAACAGGCTGTCTGGCGGCAACTTCTGCAGCCTGTTAGAGGTCATGTCCAGGCGGACTAGCTTAGTGAGCAGTGTAAAAGTTCCCGCTCCAACGTGGTCAATCAGGTTGTGGTCCAATGCGAGTGAGTTAATGTTGATCATTCTGGCTATAGCTTCCCAGGGAAGGCTGCGCAGGTTGTTATTGGAAAGGTCTAAATCCTCGATGGTGGCAACAAACTCATCAAAGGAGGTGGGGGCCACGTGGTGGATCTGGTTGTTCCCGAGGATGAGGTGCCGCAGGTTGATGAGGCCTTTAAAGTGGTCACTTTTTATAACGCTGAGGCGGTTCCCGTCCATGTGGAGTGCCCGCAGGGATCGCAGACCGACAAAGGCGTGGGGGGTGATCTGGCTGATGGTGTTGCGGGACAACGTGAGGTGGACCAAACTGGTCATGTTGTAAAAGTCTTTCCTGCGGATGATGGTGATGAAGTTGTCGGTGAGTCGCAGCTCGACAGTCTTGCGGTCGATGGTGGGGGGCACAAACAGCAGACCGTTCTTAGCACAGAGCAGGGTCAGAGTGGGGGAGAGGTGCTGGCAGATGCAGCGGCCGGGGCAGCTGTATCCCTTCACCAGAGCTGCACACAGCAGCACGCACAGAACCAGCCGGTCCATTGTTGATCGGTTTCCAGGTCCTGCGTGAGAGACAGACAAAGGGAAGCGGGAGAGACACTGAGTAAAAAATAGAGATCTTTGAATTAATAAATAGGATCATAGCCCTTATGAGAGCCTGCTGCAAAAAATCCAGAATCTGACCAAGATTGCTGAGACTGCCAGCAAGGTATCAATCACAAAATGAAATGAAGCTTTTCTGAAATAATGACACCTGGGATGATGAAAGGCTGTGCCAGCGCTGTGAGAAGCCCATGTCTCTGTAGCCTTTTAATGGAAATATCAGAATGTTTTTTTGTGCCACCAGGCTGCATCACCGCTGGACCGTATAATTTCTGGAATGATCACAGGGCAGTTTTCCTATATTAGGTAACCATGCCATGTACATTTCCATCATGTAACAAGGCTTGCGTGTTTTTCTTGCCCTGGATTCTACATCAGGGTGGAGAATTAAAGGAAAAGGGCGCTTGTCAACAGTGCTCTAGGATTTTTTTACAATTTTTATTTATTCATTTATTTTTCTTTAACAGAAACCTGTCATGTAAATCCCAGCAGCAAAAAGTAAAGGGGAAAACAGCGGGGATGCGGCTCGTTTTTGAGTGCATCCGATGGAGGCATTATTGGGCGATTCTCGGGTTTTGAGGATGTTCTGATACTCTGATTCCCATTTAGAGCTATTGATTTCAGCCTCTGAGAGAACACGCCTGTGGTGACAGGGGTAAAAAGTGATCCTTGGCTGTAATAACCGTAAGAGACCCCAGTGGAGCACAAACAGTGATGTGCCGATGCCATATTGCCAGTGGTTTTACCCTCTTTGGCATCGATCTTGATTGCTGATGCCTTAAGTTTCGCTGCTGATTAGGGATCCTGTTAATGTTGATAAAAGCCCCTCTCCAGTCATTGATTAAACCCCTAAAAACTCATCTCCATGTATCAAAATGTCATATTTAGAAGTTTCTTCCATGAAAATTTCATGGTAGAAATGCTCCGCCATGGCATTGAACGCTTATTTTAATTAGAATGTGCATTCTACACTATAAAATGTACTACTTAAACAAATTAAGGAATCCGGTTGCACTCAAAAAAGGTAAGTAAATATAACCATCCATCCATTTTCTATATCCTGCTTAATCCTCACTAGGGTTGTGGGGGGCTGGAGCCTAACCCAGCTGACTCAGGGTGAAGGCAGGGGACACCCTGGACAGGTCACCAGTCTATCACAGGGCTACACTTAGAGACAGACAACCAAGCACACTCACATTCACACATACGGACAATTTAGAATCACCAATTAACCTCAACATGTTTTTGGACTGTGTGGGAGGAAGCCGGAGAACCTGCTGCACAGGGAGAACATGCAAACTCCACGCAGAAAGATCCCCCAACGGGACGCGAACCGGCCTTCTTGCTGTGAGGCAACATTGCTAACCAACTGCTCCACCTTGCAGCCTAATAGATCAGATTTATGTAGCGCTTTTCCAGACACTCAAACACGCTGTACATTGTCAGTTATTCATTGACACACATTCATCCCGGTGGTGGTAGCTACGATTGTAGCCACAGCTGACAGAGGTGTGGCTGCCATTCTGGCCCTCCGACCTCAAACAATCCATTCAGACGCATTCACACCAGGCAAGGTGGGTGAAGGGTCTTGCCCAAGGACACAACGACCATGACACAGGTTACAGGGTGGAATCGAACCGCCGACCTTCCGATCATTAACTGACTCGCTCTAACACCTGAGCCACAACCGCCACGAAAAGTTTCTGGAAACTTCTCCTGCACTTCTCTCCTGCACATGTGCACTGCTGAGCTCTGTGTTCAGTCCAGGAACACAACGTTTCAAGTCCAGTTTACTCAAGTGTACTTAGATTTATAACTCTTTAAGAAAAAATGACTACATACTCACAGTCCATGAGTTAATTAACAGGAAATCAGTAAAGTACATTAATGTGATTCAAGTAAGCATTGGTATTACATTTTAGAGTGTGTAGCAGATTTAAAAAAAACACCATATGTTAACAAGGTAGACAACCTTGCAAAAAAAAAATCCCACCATGGGGAGTCTACAGCTAAAAGTGATGACACCTGACCTTTCCATTTCCACACTAGAAAAAGAGAAACAACGGACCAACTTAAATGACTTGCTTTAATTGGTAACATGCAATTGAATTAGGTTTATCCAAATTAAATAATATTAATGCCACTGGTTTGAGTTAAATGTACTGAAATTAATTAAATCCTCTTAAATAAGCATTGCTGCAACTTGATTTTCAGGAAAATCAAGTTTAAATTCCTCATTTTTCCAACTGACACTATATACCCACCTCATATCACATCCACTGTTCGTATAGTTTACTCTGTTCACACGTCATTTATCTGTACTTACACATTCATCTATTTTTACATTAACATCTACAGCTATTATATTTATATACTTAGTGTCTGCATACCACTCTCTCCATATTGATCTTCATGTTTATAATATTACATACTGCATACACCCACACTGTACATAATGCCCTTGATGTTGCTTTTGCATTCCTGGTTTGATGCTAAACCTCATTTCATTGTCTCAATACTTGTATTCTGTGCAATTACAATAATGTTGGATCTAATTCAAACGAAGATTTTCTTTACTCTGCAATCCCACTGGAGGAAAATGGCGGCAGAAAAAGTTTAAGAAACGTAGACATCACAACGTCAAATAGTACTAAAAGAGCAGTAAACCTAATTATTGCACTTTTGCTTCAACTAGAATACCAATTTAAAGGGGAAAAAAATGTAATTTAAAGTTGATAGAATCCACAAAACTAATCTTCACCAAAGCAGGAAGACAAATGACATTCATTTGAAAAACAGCACTTTACTTTGACTACAGCTCGAATACACATTTTACAGTGTAGGTGTAGAGATTGACACCAGGACTCCCGCAGCCCATCACCCCAAGGGGTGACATGCTCCTTCCAGACCGGATCCAGCGTGTCAATCAACAGTAACGTCTCTTTTGTAGGGGGGGCAGAATCATAATTTAAATTCAGCTGGCTGTGGGTTGTAGTCATAAAGAATGTCTGTTTTTCAACCATTTGTGAAGCTTTATCCAATTTGTCATGACTAATTTTAGAGCCCCTTTATCTGCGTTCCACCATGTTGAGGAGGTGCTGACGTCCTTAACACCACTGATTTTGTCCCCCATTGTGCCAACAGCAAAAGCATCTAATGCTCACAGTACCCAATAGCCCTAAATTAAATTTGATTTAAAAATGCCTGCGGTGAAATTTGTGGAATATTTTAAATGCCACATGTCAAAATTCATTAACAAAAAAAAACTAAACATGAGCCACATTCCTCCATCTCTCAAGCCCTACCTTGTCCATATGCTTTGCACAAAGACTCTTTTTTTTTTGTTTGTTTTTTACACACCTTAGACTTGATCTGATGAGAGTTGTTGTGTGCTCAAAATAGTGAGAGAAGTAAGAAACTGCGAGTGCTCTGCTGTCATTTTACATCAACCCCTGTTGCATTTGCCAGCCAGCAATGAAAATTCTCAGTTGCTTTTCCTTTTCGCTCCCTTACACACATACACACACACACACGTGCACGCTCACATGCACACGCGCACACTGCTGGCTGGCTGGCTGGCTACTGTCTGACAGACAACAGGGCACCTCGTTAGCTATGAAATACTGCTGTCCAATCACAGCACTCATTAAAATATAGGCTTGTATGATGTCATTTTCTGAGGGAAAGGAGAACAGTCTGAAGTTCAAACCTGTGTGAAAGTTTATCAAAGCCTTTTGATCGCTATTACTTCAACTTTGTACTGCATTACACCAGACCATTAGGTCGCATTTAAGAGAGACACTGAACCCAGACCTTTGCTTGCTTTGCGTTTACACCTCCATCTCTCCTTGTACTCAGTCTGCAGGCTGAGCCATAACTTCCAATTCCGAGATAGAGCAATCAAAACAGAGCGCGCACCCAGTCATTTTCTGTGATCAGCCACATTTATACTGAGGCTTAACTACCTCCTTGTGCAAAAAACACAGACTAGGTGGTACACTGTGTGAGAACATTTCCAAGCCCCCTAGAGAGAATTTATTTATTTAGCAACGCTCCTTTATTGTTGGCAGCAGAGTGTGACTGCCTTGTCTAAATTAATTCTTCAAATTCCATTTTTAAAGACACCGGCAAAGCTAAAACTATACACCAGGCTAGAGCTGTGCACATCATACTTTCTGTGTAATAGATTCCCGTATGAGTGCTAGTAGCGCTAGTTAAATTTTTAACATAATAGTGACCTTGCTTGATTGTTTTAGTATTCAGATGCTAACTAGGCCACAAAGCTCATGGTTTCTCAGAGGACCATCTGTGCCAGAGCATTTCCTGCCACACCGTCGAGGATACTCTATTGATCTTTCAGCATCTCAAGGAGGGGGGAAAAACTTTGTTGCCACGGCAACTCTGGAGGAGAATGTAGGTCTTTGAATTGCATTAAGATGATGTTGAGCCGCCCAAAAAAGCAAGGCTCCAGTCTTAATGGGTGCTGAGAAGGTAAGGAGGGACGTGAACAGATGTGTGAATGGCCAAGTGAATTAAAGAGAAAAGGGCAGCTCCGCCTCGCATTTCTGTCTTTGGTTTATTGCTTAATATCAGTGGCGGCCACCGAATCGATGTGAAGACAGCAGGAGAGCGCAAGGTGAACTGGAGTTCAGGTTTGTTTTCGTGTCCAGTCAAGCAGGAGCTCAACCTTTCATAAGGGATTACTCAGATGGATTATTTAGACACATGCATTTCTAATTACGAATGGCTTGTTTAGGAACTAAATCTGCTGAAACACTGAATGAAAGAAACAAAAATGAAGAAACTGACGCATTCACATATGCCCGTGCAAACAGTGGCATTACCTATGGCACATGCAGTATGTATGTATATATTAACATACAAGCATAAATATTTTACAGCGCAGTAAATTAAAACCTCACTATATTTGTAAACACCACATAAAGTTTCACATTATTTC